AGCATCATCATCATCATCATCATTCATTATCCATCAGCATCATCATCCTCGGGGTGATAAGAATGATGATGATGATGCTGAGGATGATGACGCTGATGATGATGGATGATGATGTGATGATGATGTGATGATAATGGATGATGCCTTTTTTGTAAGCCTTTTCACGGAAACAAGGCAGCTTTTCTTTTGCATCCCCAGCTTCACCAGCATCATCCTGCAGGTGCCTGGAATGATGCTTTGCATGCTGGGGATGCGGGGGCTGCCTTTTTGGTCTTGCAAAACCCGGGAAAAAAGGCAGCTTTTGCATCCCCAGCTTCACCAGCATCATCATGCAGGTGCCTGGGGTGATGCTTTGCATGCTGGGGATGCGGGGGCTGCCTTTCTGGTCTTGGAGACCCGGGAAAAAAGGCAGCTTTTGCATCCCCAGCTTCACCAGCATTTTCCTGCAGGTGCCTGAGGTGATGCTTTGCATGCTGGGGATGCGGGAGCTGCCTTTTTGGTCTTGGACACCCGGGAAAAAAGGCAGCTTTTGCATCCCCAGCTTCACCAGCATCATCCTGCAAGTGCCTGGGCTGCCTTCTTTGTCTTCGAAAGTTGCTCTCAACCTCCGACCTGAGCCTCGGACTTTTCACCCCTGAGATCTTTTTATCTTATATTGCAGACCATCCCATGCTTTCCTTTCTCTTTCTTGCTTACGGCTTTCGTTGCCTATCTTATCTGGTACACTTGTTTTTATGTTGGGTGATCTTCATTCTGGTACACTTTTCTGTGATCCAATATTTCGAGGAGACCCACTCCATCTTCTATTACACCTTCGAGTTACTTCTGTCTTCTTTTTTCCTCTCTTTGTGTTCGATTTTTTCAAAAAACAAGCAAGCTACCTCGCGAAATTAAGGGTCCACCTCGCGCCTCGTAACCCGCCTTCTCACGGAAAAAAGCATCATCCAGCATCAGCATCCTCATCCTCATCCTCATCATCATCTGGTGACCGTCGTCATCATGAAAAAAGAAATCAAAAGTGACGTTACGCCCGCTTGCGAATTGCCCTAGCAATCCATTGGGGGTCGGCGGCATCAGGCGTCAGCCTGCTAAATAAGTCCGGCCACCGGACGTGATCGGGCCGCAGGCCAAAGCCCGTTAGGGCTTACCTTCAGGTATAAGGCCGCGCGCCCCATGCCGCCGACCATGCGCGGACCATGCGCATACGTTTTGTGCTGGGCATGCCCTTATAAGGGGCGAAGGATTCGCGGATTGGTTTAGGCAATTTTCGAGGATTTTTGTAGCATCTCTCCGCAGCGCCCAAAAACGAGTCCAAAAACGAGCATTTTTAGGGGGGTGCCTAATACTGGACAACACCCCCAGCATTGCCAGCATCACCCTGGATGATGCGGATGATGTTATGCATGCTGGCGATGCGGGGGATGCTGTTGTCCCCTAAGTCGCGCCAATTTTGCCGAAAACGTGCAACCTGAAAATCTTAAAATCTAAAGTGGATGGAACATGGCCTGGATTGAAATCTCAAAATCCTAAAGTCTTAGATTCTTAAAATCTTAAATTAAAATCTAACAATCAATCTTAGAATCTCAAGATCTTAAAATCTTAGAACTTAGAATCTTAAAATCTGAAAATATAAAAACTTCCTAAAGTCTTCGAATATTGAAACCTTAAAAACCTTATGTTTTAGAATCTTGAGATCTTAAACTCTTAAAATATGAAATTCCTAAAGTCTTACAATCTTCAAATCTCAGAATCTTCAAAAGCTTCAAAAACTTAAATTCTTGAAACCTCGAACAACTGAAATCTGAAAATCTTAAGTTATTAAAATATTACCTTCCTTCAATCCGGGCTATATTTTAACTTCCTTAAACTCTTAATCTTGAATTTTTGAAATCTTGAAACCTTAAGATCTTAAAATTACAACCTTAGAAGATAGAATCTTACAACCTGAAAATATAAACATCCTCAAGTCTTCGAATCTTGACTTCTTAAAACCCTCATGTCGTTGAATCTTCAGATGTTAAAATCTTAAAATATGAAATTCCGAAATTCTCAAAATCTTAAAATCTCAGAATCTTAAAAGCTTCAAAAACTTAAGTTCTTTAAATCTCGAACTATTGCAATCTGAAAATCTTAAATTCATAAACAAGTAAAATATAATCAAATTCCTTCAATCCGGGCTACATTGGAAATTCCTTAAACTCTTAATCTTCAAATTTTGAAGTCTTGACATCTTAAGATCTTAAAATCTTAAATTCCGAAAGTCGCCAAATCTGAAAATCTCGCCAAAAATGAAATCTTAAAGCCTTCGAAATCTGATAATGGATGGAAAATGGCTGGGCAATGGCCTGGCTGTTATAACCTTCAAACACCTTAAGTCTTTGAATCTTAAAACCTTAATTCTTAAACCATTGAAGCCTTAAATTCCAAAAGTCTTCAAATCTGAGACCCTTAGAATCTCAAAGTGTTTAGAATTTTTTAATCTTAACATCTACTCATCGGACTTACCGGAAAGGGAAGTGACAGAACGGGCAGGGCAAGGTGCCCGGTGGCCGGCTGTGTCGCGTCAGCGTGTAAATCACAAATAATCCTGGTCAAGACTTCAATCAACAAGGCAAGCTCCACAAACTGATTATTGAATCTGGTGTGCGGTCAATACGCTTTATATTCTCTCCTGCCATCGGTTTGGGTCAGTGTACCCCATTTATATACTCGTGGTAGTCTGGTTAGCATATTCCATGTCATTCCCCGTATACCAAGAAATGAAATGGTGAAACCATCATACTATGTTGAGGCTATCATCAAGGGCATGCTGGGCATCCAGGAAACATTAGCAAACCGGAACTGGGAACAGTGCTTGTCAGTCGCAGGTCTCAGAGTGAAAGCCAAGGCGAGGATGTGGAGTGTGCCCGAGACAGGTCTTGTCCTCTAACTACAGCGGCTGCAAGGAAAGAGTAGGTCGGTCTGCGAGGCAATGAGGTCTTAGTCTCACAAATATTACGGAGACCAAGGCATAAACAATGGCACAGCAGGGAAGGAAAGCGCGGCTTGATGTTGCCACACTTTGTTCAAGGTGTTCAACGGCTACAAACGCTTCAGCGTTAAGATACTTTAAGCGCCGACTGGGTGCTGTCCAGAAAGTGAAAGTGTCAAGGCTCTGTCCTGCCTAGCTCGCCATGACTTTGCCACGCAGGTAGCGAAGCATCTGGGTAGTCTGACAAGCTCAAGTAGATTGTGGATCTTTGGAGTTTTGAGATTAGACCAAGCACTGGTGGCGTGTGGCAGGGAGAGGCGTTGCTCAAGGTTTCGGCGTACGCAAAGGAAATTGTGTGTAAACGGCGCAATAACAGTCCACTACACGTGGCTCACACTCGGGCACCCTCGCCACGCCGATCTCATGGGCCCCAGCGCGACAGGCCGGCAATGTACAGACAACAATTTCATTTGCGGATGTGGCCATGTGGATAATGCAAGGAGAAACCAGGCGATTATCGATGGCAATGACCAGTGGCCCTGAATGTGTCGATGTGGAAATCAAATGTTGCTGTGGTCTTGCTTGTCATGACAGGGGATTTACTTCTGCCACTTGGGTCGCTTGGACCATTTGCGGAGATTACAAACCGAGGAGTGCCGCTTGGGTCACCTAGGTCGTTTGAGAACAGAATAATCACCTCTGCATCATGCCTGAACCACAAACTGCCGCTTGGAATATGTGGGTCACCGGGGCCATTTGCATCGATGGGAAGCACAAAGAACAATGTGCAGCAAGTGGCAGCAAATGGCAGCACGTGGCACACACATGGCATGGCACACACACAAACACAACTAGCTATGTCAAAACCGGGCAGCGAGCGATTCCAAGCGGCAGCAAATAATCCAAGAGACCTAAGCATCGGGGTTCAATTCACTTGCCTCGGTTGCAAAATGACGGAAGTGAATCAAAGCAAGGATATTAATTATCACTTTATAAGCTGCGAGCCCAATAGCAATATGGCAACCTTCACTAAGCACAACTGCTGTAAACCCATCGACATCTGAGGAAACTCAAAGGAAGCAGGATTGCTTTGATTCATGTAGCTGGAACTGAGAAAATCAAAACATGTCAGAACCCAAGAGGCGTCACTCCCTTGCCACACACTTGGCTGGTTGCCCCATGGCACACCCGGAGTGCTTGCCACATGCGTGCAACATCTTGCACCACAAGCAGGCCTCGAGTTCAGCAAGGCCGCATGCTCGCAGAGAGTCTGCAAGCTGCATCGCAAGGCATGGGTGGCGATGCCTTGCCTCAGCGCGGCATCTCTAGCTGACTCCCAAGAGCGAGACGCACAAGCCGCCACCTCTTACTATTTTTCGGCGCCAAAGCCCCAGCAACAACTGCTCCTTCGAATCATAATATAGCAGCATGGTAAGGATGCAAAGACAAATCGTTGCAGACCCCATGCGTGCTAGCTGCTCAACCATGTTGGCCAGAATATGGATGATGTTGTTGTCGCTCTCGTCCTCAAATGGAGGTCGCTGGTCTCGCATCTCAATGATGCTAGAGGGGCGTGGATTCACGACCAGCTCTTCCAAGTTGTCGTCTCCGAAGTCCTGAATTCCGGTGACAATCCTTGGTACTAGTAGCAGACACGGTTTGTTGGCTGTTGGGTTGCAGACTCGTGCCTGTGGCCTGGCAGAAAGTTCCAAAAGACTTGGAGAGCTAAGTCTCTGAAGGATGGTGATGCCAATGGAGTAGACCTCACTCTTCTCCTCGAACTTGCCTGTTCTTTCGAACTTCGGGCACTTGAATCCAGGAGTTCCCAGTGGACCGCCGGTATCCCGGAAGAAGCGCGTCTTGCTGCCGGGCACGTCAGCCTGCGCCAGCCTCGCAAGGCCACAGTCGATCAGCTTGGGATCTCCGTCAGCAGTCAGCACTATGTTGCCCGGTTTCACATCGCGATGATAGCATGGCCCTGCAGGATCGTGGCGGTGCAAGTGGTGGATGGCATCCACCAAGCCCTTCACTATATTGGCTCGCAATGTCCAGGTGAGATCTTCTGCGCGCTCCTTTTCGTCCAAATGGGTCTCCACACTTCCTCCGGGCTGGTACTCGTAGAGCAAACCGCAGTGTCCTCGGTCTTGCAGTAGCCGAGCAAGCGGATGATGTTCGGGTGTGTGAAGGCAGTGAGTGTGGTGATCTCTGCCTCCGTCATGCGGTTCATCATTTGGCGCTCTTCCTCATTCTCGCACACCAAGCACTTGGCGGCAAACTCGAGGTGCTCGTCTTTGTCAACTGCCTTGTAGACCTTGCCGTGGCCTCCCTCCCCCAGCAGTCGATGCTCTGCGAAGTTCTCCGTGCAACGCTGCAGGTAATCCAAGTCAATTGCGTCTACCTCCTTCCGAAGGAGCTTGGCGCGACAAGCCAGGCGCAGGCTCAAACGCATGGCCTCCTCGAGTTCATCATCTTCCTCCACGACTTTTGGTCCAACTGCAAAGGCCTCTTCAACTTGCTGCTGCGACGCAGGATCCTGCCGGGCGACAGCAGGGCCAAGCGCAGCCCCCCAGGATCCCCCAAGGCATGGTTGGTAGCAGCAATTCCAGGCATGTTCGGCTACCCAAGCTCACTTCCAAGATTGTCAGCCAACAATGCTCCGGCTGTGACTTGCGCCCTGCTGTGCCTTTTGCATAATATGCTGCACCCGTTTGCAACAATGCACATATCAAACAGGCCAACGGAAGTCAGACTGATCAGTGCCTTGTTTGTCTCTTCCTGAGGCTAGGCAACAGAAACATGTCCTGCGTGCCAAGTTGAAGTAGAGGGCTCTGACTGCTAAGCATGCCCAGCACGTGCTTCGCTGCAGGGTTCCTCTCCGTTGCCAACATCCTCTGGATCTCTTCCTGCGTGTTGCCACCGCCTGCAGCTACCGCTGCCAAACGTGCAGCCATGTTGTGCACCTGGCCGTCGTCGAGTCCGGCCTTTGACAGTGCAGAACTTGAGAAAGGTCAAGCACATACCACAAGACGACAAAACACTGCCATGTGTATGTCATAATGGTCATGTTGCCAGTCCATCAAAAGCGTCCCCTCTGAACTGCCCATGCCCTGTCTCCTGCAGGGCAAATGATTGAGAGGAATGCTCACAAACTTTCGCAATCAAGCCAAAGAATGGCACCACCGCCCCTCCTCCGTGTGGACATAAGAGTCTGCTCTATCTTTGCACCATTTCCCGCAAGTCACACACGTCATGGGCATCATGTCACGTGGATCGCCGAGTCCGGCAGTTAGAGCACAACTTTCCCGTCTTTTTAATACCCCCCCGCCGGCCAACATCATACTTTACTACATATTTTTCATCACAATCAACCACATCAACTCTACTTTCAAACAGCAAGCCACAACATTATTAAATATTTTTCACCGTACAAGTTTCATCACAGCAAGCCATCACATAATTTTTCATCATTGGCTGGGAATAAAATTATACAATAATTTTATCCCCCAAACAAGATGGGAAAGATGTCTCTGCTAGAAAAAATATGACATAAACCTTACAATGCTTTTATTGTAAGGTTTATGGGGTTGTTTCTTTCCGGGGTTTCTGGGGACACCGTTGCCCGTCCGCTCGCACCGGCTTTGTGGAGAAGATGAACAGTATTTATAAGGTGCCTCTGGCTTGTTTTGCTGAAGCTGTGGAGCAAGTGGTTCGCGTGAGAGCTTGAGACAATCACAATTTTATGTGTAGAATTTGTTGCTCACATCAAGGTTCAGTAAGCTAGACTTTTAGCAATGGTTGTATCCGTGTCATTCTTGGTGCGGTCTGAGCGACGGTGCAAGTTCATCAGTCGCTTTGATGTGGATGAGACCGACTGTGGTGTGTCCTGCCGCGCATTCAAGGAGTATATGCAGGGTTGGGTGATGAAAAACACCAACATTCGGAGCATTGTGCACACCGAGTTGGAGGTGAAACAAGACGATGTGGTCTTGGGCGAGGAAGATTGCTTGGGCGGTGGCATTCACGTTCCAGTACTGGGATAGGGTCGTACTTATAACTTGAGTTATAAGTTACTACAAGTGGACTTATAACGTGGGACAAGTGGACTTATAAGTTTGCTAAGTCCGAGGATAGTTATAAGTTACTTGTCTATGTTTAACTTAGATAGGCCCACTTATAAGTTCGAGCTAAGTTCCGGGTGCCGGGACTTAGAATGAACTTAGCTGGGACTTAGCTTTTTAGCACCATTTGAGGAAAACAGCCTTCGGTCATTCAGCGCTTGCGAAGCAATGTCCCAAACGCGTCTACCTCGCTGAGTCTACGTGTCTGCCTGCGTGCGAAAAAGCACGCGTGCGCTACCCCTGACATGTTGCGGACCACATCGCTGAACGAGAGAGAAAGCCTGACACCGGACTACGCGCGCGCGCATCATTTTTCGAGACGTACGGTCGCTCCCGGCTAGACCGCGCAGGGCGGAACACGGCGTAGCGGCGGCGGGGCCGCTTCCATGTTTGGAAAACACATCGCGGCAGGACCGCGCAGCGACCATCGCGGCAGGACCGCGCAGTGAGCCATCGCGGCAGGACCGCGCAGCGAGCCATCGCGGCAGGACCGCGCAGCGACCATCGCGGCAGGACCGCGCAGCGACCATCGCGGCAGGACCGCGCAGCGACCATCGCGGCAGGACCGCGCAGCGACCATCGCGGCAGGACCGCGCAACGACCATCGCGGCAGGACCGCGCAGCGACCATCGCGGCAGGACCGCGCAGTGAGCCATCGCGGCAGGACCGCGCAGTGAGCCATCGCGCATGCAGTTTACGCTGTTTGTTCGCGCTGCTTCGCACGCTTGGCTCGATGGAGCCGGAGCATTTTTTGCACTGATTGACTCGGTTTAATTTTGTTGTCCAATAATCGTTTCTATAGCGGTGTCTCCGCTGGCGGCCGGTCCGCCTTCATATAGTCGCATGGGGTGGTTTCTCCGCCGGCGGCCGGTCCGCCCATTTTGCTTTTCTCGTTTGATGATATATCATTGTAGCGGTGGTTCCGCTGGCGGCCGGTCCGCCAAGCTTTTTTTGCCACGTTCATTTTCATTTCGAGATGGCACTTGAAGCGGTTGTCCGCTGGCGGCTGGTCCGCCCAGGAATTGTTCGGCGTGATTTTTATTTCGAGATGGCACTTGAAGCGGTGGTCTGATGGCACCTTGCGATTTTTTGCATGTTTGGATTGTGAGTGCGCGGGTGAAAGGCTGCAAGACTCAATCAAGGCTCCAGAATCCAGACTGCTGACTGCAAACTCCACACTCCAGACTGCAGACTCCAGACTGCAGACTCCAAACTGCAGACTCCAGACTGCAAACTCCAGACTCCAGACTGCAAACTCCAGACTGCAGACTCCAGACTGCAGACTCCAGACTGCAGAGTCCAGACTGCCAACTCCAGAATCCAGACTGCAGACTCGAGATTCCAGATTCCAGACACAATGACTCCTGGCTCCAGGATCCTGATCATTTTGTGGTGGAATTCGGCCACGGGGCCAAGTTAAGTTATGTTAAGTCGTGGTGACGCAACTGGGCCTCACGGGGAAAGTTTGGCAGTTAAGTTGATTGAGTTACAATAGGGACTCCACGGCTCCACACGACCCGCCCAGGTTAAGTTAAGTTAAGTTTTGTTAAGTTCGAAAAAACTGCACCGGCCTTTCCGGGCTTTGGGGCGGGGCTGTCTGGATGCTGGATTCTGGGGTCTGGACTGTGAATTCTGGAGTCAGGAGTCTGGATTCTGGAGTCAGGAGTCTGCAGTCTGGAGTCTGCAGTCTGGAGTCTGCAGTCTGGAGTCTGCAGCCTGGAGTCTGCAGTCTGGAGTCTGGAGTCTGCAGTCTGGAGTCTGGAGTCTGGAGTCTGCAGTCTGTCTGTGGAGTTTGCATTCTGGAGCCTGGAGTCTGCAGTCTTGATTCTGGAGTTGGCAGTCTGGAGTCTGGAGTCTGCATCGGGAGTCTGGAGTTTGCAGTCTGGAGTCTGCAGTCTGCAGTCTGCAGTCTGGAGTCTGCAGTCTGGAGTCTGCAGTTTGGAGTCTGGAGTTTGCACTCTGGAGCCTGGAGTTTGCAGTCTGGAGTCTGCAGTCTGGAGTCTGGAGTTTGCAGTCTGAAGTCTGCAGTCTGGAGTCTGCAGTCTGGAGTTTGGAGTTCGCAGTCCGGAGTCTGCAGTTTGGAGTCTGCAGTCTGGAGTCTGCAGTCTGGAGTCTGCAGCCTGGAGTCTGCAGTCTGGAGTCTGCAGTCTGGAGTCTGGAGTTTGCAGTCTGGAGTCTGCAGTTTGGAGTCTGCAGTCTGGAGTCTGCAGTCTGGAGTGTGGAGTTTGCAGTCAGCAGTCTGGATTCTGGAGCCTTGATTGAGTCTTGCAGCCTTTCATCCGCGCACTCACAATCCAAACATGCAAAAAATCGCAAGGTGCCATCAGACCACCGCTTCAAGTGCCATCTCGAAATAAAAATCACGCCGAACAATTCCTGGGCGGACCAGCCGCCAGCGGACAACCGCTTCAAGCGCCATCTCGAAATGAAAATGAACGTGGCAAAAAAAGCTTGGCGGACCGGCCGCCAGCGGAACCACCGCTACAATGATATATCATCAAACGAGAAAAGCAAAATGGGCGGACCGGCCGCCGGCGGAGAAACCACCCCATGCGACTATATGAAGGCGGACCGGCCGCCAGCGGAGACACCGCTATAGAAACGATTATCGCACAACAAAATTAAACCGAGTCAATCAGTGCAAAAAATGCTCCGGCTCCATCGAGCCAAGCGTGCGAAGCAGCGCGAACAAACAGCGTAAACTGCATGCGCGCGCGCGCCTGCCCTGCTGCGTTGAGTCACACGAAAATGTGTGATTTCCAGCGCGTAATGCTTCATCGTTGCCATGCTTCAAAACGCATGTGTTTGCAAACTCAATGAACTTAGAATGAACTTAGCGGACTTAGAAAAACCTCTTTTCTAAGTTCAAGATAAGTTACTTATAAGTCCAAGCTAAGTGCTAAGTCACTTATAACTCCAGCGTAAGTACGACCCTATCCCAGTAGTCTACACCAGCCTCAATGTTCAACTGGCATTGACACTCAACCAGTTCGCCAGCACAGAACAGGGGCGTCAGGCAGACCGTGAGTTTCAGGAGCTGTTCCTAGCTCAGCCTTCCTCTTCTACTACCGCCGTTGCCCCCGCTACTACCAATGAGGCTTCTTCATCTTCAAACACAGCGCCGGCATCAACCAGAAGGACAAAGGCTTTGGAGGATGACGAGCACGACAGCGAGGGCTTCCAGTCTCTTGTCAAGTACCTGACGGACACCTGCCAAGCCAAGGGCTACCGCATCACCTTCATTCAGGAACAGCCCCACATCCTAACACCATATGGTGTTTATCAAGCTTGGGATGACAACGAGGGCTTTGTCCGCTTCTGCAGTGAAAACTCGGTTCTGGTGGCTCACGATTGGGATGACAACCTTGAACACCTGACCAATGACAACAACAGGGAGATGTTCAACTACTTCTATGCCTCACTGGGTGCCGATGACATCGCGTGCTTCAGGGAGAAGTGAGAGAAGGCAATGAACCGCAAGGACCTTGAAGAGGACGACGTGAAGGCTTTCATTTTTGGTCGTATGTCATTTGCAACAAAGGAGCAAATCACGGAGAGTATGAACCGAGTTGCAGAACGAGACCAAGAGACCGCAACAGAGGAGGAGCCCTTTGACCTTGCGTCGGGCAACCTTTTCAAGCCCTTCAGCGGAAAGCCTATGAAGCTTGGAGACGTTGATGCCATCGCTGGTGAAGTTGAGGAGGAGACACACCCAGAAGAAGGTGAGGCGCCCTTGACATCAGTTGCACTCAACAAGAAGAACCAGCACACGGTTGGCAGTGTTCGCGTCGTGTTCAAGGGGATATCCTACATCTACCACTACCCGAGAACCG